ATGGGTGGAGGAGGACAAGGCCAAGCTGCTGAGAGACGCCGATGAGCGAAATACAAAGGTCGATATCGCAGACGTTAAATGTGAAAAACAAGGAAACGAACAGCAACAGCTTTAACGCAGGGCAGGTTTAACCCTCAGGGTCAAAGGTCAGGCCGCGTCACGCTCTTTCAGCCATGCGTGAAGGCGTTTGGACGAGGTCGTCGAGTGGACGTTAGTGTTAGCCAGCTTTAAGCCTCAGTCTGTGTCACATGATCACAGACCCTTTTTTCTTCAGGTGGAGAAGCTGCAGCAGAGCGTGCTGTCTCTGGAGGCGGAGGCGGAGCTCCTTCGCTCTCAGCTTGCCGCCATCAGTCAGGAGAAACTCAGCCACGCCCAGGATGTGACGGAGCTACAGAGGAAGTTGCAGGAGGCTCAGAGCAGGGTGAGACCGCCACCTCTGACATCGCCACGTTGACTATGACTGGACTGCGGCCCCATCGTTCTGATTGGCTGCTTCCTGTTTCAGGTGGAGGAGTTGGAGGCCGGTGTCAGGAAGCTGATGAGGGAGAAGGAGGAGCTCCGACAGGCGCTGCAGGAGCAGGAGGAGCAGGCCTCTGTCACTCTGCAGGACGAGACCTGCAAACTGAGAGTCCAGAACCAGGAGCTCCAACACCAGGTACTGTCCAGGTGCAGCTGGGGGGCGGGGTCTGCTCAAGATTCTTAAAGCTGATTGGTCGATGTTTGCTCAGCTCTCGGAGCTGCAGGTGGAAAATGTGAAGGTCCACAAACTGAGCGAGGAGCAGAAGGAGCTGAAGAGCAGACTGAGTGAGGCGGAGGAGGCCCGGATCCAGGCCCAGGACCAGGTCTGTGCCCCGGATCAGGACTGCAGGGCGTCCAATCAGATAAAAGAGTTTTATCAACAGGAACCAGGGCTGCAGCGAGTCTTTGACTGATTCGAAACCAATTTGTTTCCGTACAAATTCTTTCAATGCTTCGTCATCATGGAAACGTTAGCAACTAAAACCAGGCCTGCAGTAAAATTCAATTCAATTTTATTTATA